GAGGAAGGATCCCCTCACACGGACACGCTCTGTTCGGTTATTTTATCGAGTTATCTTTATTGATAAATTGATTCGTTACGTGAAGGGGTAACGCCTGTCTGTTTGCGCGCTGTGCAGGTGCAACTTCATCGTTCTGCGTGGGTGTAACCTCGTGTTTCTGTACAAGCACAACTTCGACTTTCTGTACAACCACAGCTTCGTATTTATGTACAAGTGTAACCATATATCTGTACAAGCACAACTTTATATTTCTGTACAAGTGTAAATGTATTTCTGTACAAGCACAAGCTCATATTTCTGCACAAGCATAACTTCACATTTCCGTACAGCTGTAACTTCATATTTCACCACAAGAACAACCTCATGTTTCTGTGCCAAGTTAACTTCAGATTTTTGTACAACCACAACTACTTTCTGTACAGCTGTAAATTCATATTTCGGTATAAGCACAATCTCATATTTCTGTGCGGGCACAACTTTGTATTTCTCTACAAGCTGTAAGTTCCTATTTCTGTACAATCACAACTTCAATTTTATGTACAGGTGTAACTTCATCTTTCTGTACAAACACAACCTCATCTTTCTGCACAACCATAACCTCACATTTCTGTACAGCTGTAACTTCATATTTCACCACAAGCACAACCTCGTGTTTCTGTGCCAATGTAACTTTAGATTTTTGTACAACCACAACTTCTTATTTCTGTACAGCTCTAAATTTGTATTTTTTGTACAAGCACGGCCTCATATTCCTATACCGATATAACCGCAGTTTTCTGTACAAGAAAACCTTCTTATTTCTATACAAATGTAACTTCAAATTTCTCTACAGGTGTAACCTCACATTTCTGTAGTGGTGCAACTTATTTCTGTACAAGCACAGCTTTATATTTCTGTACAAGTGTAACCCTATTTCTGTATGAACACAACTTTATATTTCTGTAAAGTGTAACCCTATTTCTGTACGAACACAACTTTATATTTCTGTACAAGCATTGCCTCATATTTCTGTACAGCTGTAAAATTGTATTTCTGTTCAAGCAAAACTTCAAATTTCTGTGCAGCTGTAACTTCATATTTCGCCACAAGCACAACCTCGTGTTTCTGTGCCAATGTAACTTCATATTTTTGTACAACCACAACTTCTTATTTCTGTAGAGCTGTAAAGTCACATTTTTTGTACAAGCACAACCTCATATTCCTGTACCAGTATAACTTCAGATTTCTGCACAAGCACAACCTCATATTTCTGTACGGGTGCAACTTATTTCTGCACGAGCACAACTTCCAATTGCTGTACAGGTGTAACTTCGTATTTCTGTAAAAGCACAATTTCATATTTCTTGCAGGCGTGACTTTGTATTTCTGTACAAACACAACTTCCTATTTCTGTACGAGCATAAACTTTATCTATTATCTGTACAGGTTTAACTTTAAATTTCTGTACAGGTGTAACTTTATAATTCTGTACAGGTGTAACTTCACATTTATGCTCCCACCTCGGGGACATTTCCATGTGATATCGTCCTTTTCGGACAAGAAAAACAGGGTTTTTTCCCACAAGTGGGAAAAGTTGGGAAGCAGCAAAGTGAGAGGAGCTGGATGGAGGAGCCAGACCTGAGGCATGTTGAGCTGGGGGGGCTGCAAAGCTCCTGCAGGGAGGGAAAAATCCCACAGGACAAGGGGCAGCAGCTTCCCAAAAGAAAAAATTATCCGGGATATTCTCATTTTCCAGGACATCCCGCACATTTCTTAATTTTTTTTTCCCATTCTGCTTCAGGCTCGTGCAGATACAGGAACATCCAAGTTGTCCGAGCGTGCCGGTGGAATGTGTTAGTCCTTTATAAAAAAAATTATGGAATNGAATGTGTTAGTCCTTTATAAAAAAAATTATGGAATCCCAGGGTGGTTTGGGTGGGAAGGGACCTTAAAAGCCCATCCTGTTCCAACCCTGACACTTCCCAATCTCCCAGGTTGCTCCAACCTGGCCTTGGACGCTTCCATGGACCCAGGGGCAGCCACAGCTTCTCTGGGCAAAACCCTGTGCCAAAAAAAAGCTGGTTATTGGAAAACATTCAGTGATAAAAAACAGAGTTGGAGAAGGGGGCAGATAAATTTAAAAAGGACGAGACCTGATTTGGTAGATCCACGTTTGTGGGTGATTTAATTTGGTTGGAAAGTCTCTTGGCTTTGACTCGTTTCCTGAGGAGGAGGACGAAAGGACGAGGAAGGTTTGTGGAGATCAGAGGGAAGATCCTGCCCTGCTCCTCTCCCGGCATTTTCCTTTTTCCGGCGGGACGTGACTTTAATCCCGTGTTTTCTGCTGACACCTGCTGGCCCTCAGCAGGAGGGTTTTTGTGGGCCCTACCCAAACAACCCGGGAAGTTGTTAGGGTGGATAACTATCCCATGGGACGGTGTCACCGGGAGAACCGGTCTTTCATCTCCGGGGACAGGGAACTAAAAAACACAAAGCTGCAACGATGGAGGTGGCTGGGGACAGCCCTGTGAGTTTGGAGGTCTTGGTTTCCTAATTTAAGGAAAAATCAGTTGGAAATAAACAGCCAGTGATAAGCCACACACTGAAATCCCGACTCATTCCTTACCCAGGGCATTTCCAAGGTGCCTGGTGGATTGGGAACATGGATTAGGAACAGAAATAACAGTTCTCTCACCAGTAATCCAAAATGAACTGGTGTTATAACCAACTAATTTTGGTTATCCAAGGGCCCTTTCTGATGTTACAGGTCTAAATCAACAAGAGGAGAAAAGAAATATTTCCGTGCAAAAGGTGAAATTTTCTGGGATTTCCTTCCTGACTGGGATAACTCTCCTAACTTTCTGGGATTTCTCTCCTTACAGGTGGTGTTTCTGTTCCTTAAAACCGTGCCCCTCGTTCCTCACCTCTGGTGACGTTTGGGAAGTGTCAACGTTCAGAAATATTGGAGCAATCCAACAAGAGGGGGTTGTCGGGCTCTGCTCCCAGGGAACGAGGGACAGGACGAGAGGAAACGGCCTCGAGCTGTGCCAGGGGAGGTTTGGGTTGGATATGGGGAAAATTCCTTCCTGGAAAGGGTGGTCAGGCCTTGGCAGGGGTTGCCCAGGGCAGGGTGGAGTCCCCACCCCTGGAGGGATTTAAAGCCCTGTGGATGTGGCTCGTGGGGACACGGGGCAGTGGTGGCCTCGGCAGCGCTGAGAAGGGTTGGACTCCGTGATCCCGGAGGTCTTTTCCAACCCCAAAGGTTCTCCAGTCCAGCAGGGAGACACTCGGGTTGGGGGAGGTTCATTTGACCTTTCACTCCTTCCCGTGTCCCCAGGGTGTCCCTGACTCACTGCACGACTCCACATCCTCTTGGGACAGCGAGGGGAGGACGGCCCAGCCCTGCCCACGTTGGAGTGCCCTAATTGGCAGCACTAATTGCCC